TAATCAAAACGAAAGGTAGAACGAAAGAGAGCAGGCTGAACACAGGAGGAAGTGAACCGTAGTAGTGGGTTTTTGCCACCAGGGGGCGCACTTGTAATTAACCTGGTTGAGTCAGCCACCTTATTTTAAATTTAAATTCAAAGGAGTTGAAATCAAATCTAAATAAACGTGTAAGGAAATGTAACACTCAGAATGATATCCTACAATAGTCCAGATACACTGAAGTATCAGTCCTATTTGTAAAATAATCAGGAGAGAAAGGTGATATACATGAACACTCCCAGATAGTAAAAAGGGGAAAAGAGTGATACCGATTTGGTATCCACAAGGCCACACAGTGGCGCTGTTTCCTCCAAGTGGATATCAGTGGCTGACAGACCAACACAATCTAAATTTTAAGTTCAAACTGGTCTCGAACCAAATTTAAATATGCGTGTAAGGGGATTGAAAAGTCAAGATGATATCCTATAATAATTAACGATAACAGTGAAGTATCGTCAATAATTATACAATAATCAGAAGGGAAAGGTAGAAATAAAACAATTCACAACGGAATGGAAAAGAGAGAAAAGAGAGAAAACAAAATTGACATGAGAAACTTAATTCAAATTAAAGTTAGGAATTTGATATTCCAAACCGAATTTGAATAAGTGTAAGACGAGTTAAAGATCAGCATCATATCTGATGGTAAATCGGATGGCTGAATAGGCAACTTGATTTAAATTTAAATTTAAAACTGTTAAACTCAATTTAAATAAGCGTGTACCGAAAGTTAAAGATCAGAATTATCTCTGATAATAATCAAGATTACTGTAAGGTATCATTAATAATTGTGAAATAATCCAAAGAGAGAAGTAGAAATAAGAGATTCAAAACAGAATTTAAAAAGAGAGAAAACAAACATTGACATGAGAAACTTAATTCAAATTTAAATTAGGAATTTGATATTCCAAACCAAATTTGAATAAGTGTAAGACGAGTTAAAGATCAGAATAATATCTGATGATAATCACGATTACTGTAAGGTATCAGTGATAGCACATCAAATAAACCACCTGGAAATTGACCACTTCGACACAGAATGAAAGCAGGAAGGGAGTGATAAACCGACTTAGCCGGGGATGCCACGAGGGGGCGCCCTTTGTTAAGTGGGTATCAGTGACTGAGCTGAGAGTCTTAACTTAAATTTTAATTCAAATCTTGTTTGAATCAAATTCAAAATAATTGTAATCAGTCAGGGGCAGGAAAACCTAACATCCAATCATATTTAGCACAAGCAGAGCTGTTAATGCACATATATATTGAAGTTAGACCGCAGAGTTCATTATCACAGGGAAAATGAAAAAGAGAGAAAAAAAAAAAAAAAACAAGAGAGAATTTGAAAACAAAGTGACCTGTTTGCCAATGCCCACACGGTGGCGCAATTTAGCTCGCGCAGAATGATGTCACGGAGCGGAAGTAATCTGAGACTATACTGGAAGGCTGCCCTCCAGTGTTCGTCAGCGGAATTACATTCAGTGTGATTTTATGCTTAGAATTTCTTTCTCCTAACGTCCACACGATGGCGCCATTTGAAGTCATGGGGTTGAAGTAACTTGCACTGTTAGGCACTAAAAAGGTGTCTTTAGTGTTTGTCAGCGGAACTGAGCACTCGGCTTCAGAGTGATTTAACTCTGAGTGCGTTTCTATGCGTCAGTTGTCTGCAAAAATCACAATTATTTCAAAATCTCGGCGGATTTTTGGTGCTATATTTCACAAAAGTGTGTGGCAGGATTTCTTCACTGCACTACACGTAAATTGTTGACAACAGGAATTATTCATCTGTTGCTTCGGCTCCCGTACACACACAATCAATAGCACTTATGATTCAAATGTGTTAGGTTTACAATTGGTTAGCTACGCCAATTTGTACCAGGAGTTATCGTTAATCTAACGATTATATATCAGGCCTTTTACTACTGAATCAAAGGACTCTCGCTTTGATCAGATTTACGTCTCACACTAAAAAGAGATTTCTTCGTCTTAATAGGCGGTTTTAAACATATTAAAATGTATCACCTGCAGAGAGTTGTCTTCATCTCTAAACAGGACATTCGTAATATTAAAACTGCAGCATTTAACAGTGATCAAAACATGTCTATGCATATTTTAGCAGCTGTTAACATGTAACGTTACTGACTGACGTCGGGTTTTTGCCTGTCAGTTAGGAGTGAGTTCGCGTTGCGACTTATCTCACAATTTCAAAATTCCATATCGTGCATGCACAAAATTATTAATAACCATATAAACAGATTGAAACTGAATTTGCTCATAAAACAAAGTTTGAAATGCCCGCATTCTCCACCATATTGTAGCCACATTGAGATGTGCCTTAATTAGCTCAAATTATGCATAGGGAATTTTAATAATTAATCATGAATATGATTAATATATTGCATATTACAGTTAAATTATCGAAATTGAAAATAGATCGATTGTATATATGAATGATCAATTATAACGAATTATAATTCCTCATTCATATATCAATGGTCTCATTACAGATCGATTATATGAGATAACTTTAAGGGAATCAATTGGCTATCAAACAATCGGTTTGTCCAGCAAACGGCTGTAAGATTAACCCATCAATTAATTCAACAACGTTATCCCTTTTTATAAACTCCAAGAAATCTCAATGTTCCGGCCGTGAACATTAATTTTCAGGTGTTTATAAAATTAGACTACCCAACGTAGTCAATGATAAAGCTTTTGTAGCTATAGGATCGCATTTCATTGACTGGTAAATGAGCACTTCAGGATCAATCAAGAATATGGTTTTAATAATTGAAACTACGGATACGGAATTCTACATTTGAACACAGGATACATGTATGTACAGTTAAACAGTAAAACTAACGAGACAGACGAATAACAAACAGGAGTGAGAGAGAGAGAGAGAGAGAGAGAGTAAGAAGATGAGAGATCTTCTAGTTTGGCAAAATTCATCACAGACAGAACCTTTTTAGACACCAAGGATCAACAGATCTCAAATAAGCATAGTAAAACGGATACTTGCACAGGTAAAGCTCTTGGGTGTGACCGATCTGAAAACGGCGTGTGCGTGTATCTCTGTCATGTGGATGCCGAGCGTTCGGGTTCGTCCAGCGAGCGCGGCGTGTTTGAATGTCCTTGTAGGTGAAGCTTGCCAGTCTGGCTGTGTTCATTTTCTTCGCGAGAAGACATGAACAGAGGAGACTTCGAAAAAGATAAAATAAACTTGAAGAAAACAAAAAGAGAAACGATGGATCATCACAATAAGGCGAGGTCCAGATGCACGAGGAGTCACATGATGAAGCCACGAAGAGCAGGAAGAGCCAGGGAGTTTAGGCAGAGAGTTTTCAGGAAGCTTTCAGAAGCGTTTTCAGAAGAAGATTTAGGGAAGCTCGGCGGGTCTCTTTAAGGACACTTAGGTTCACGCCCCTTCTGGCATGAAGGCACCAATCAGCTGGGAGAAAAGTGCCCGCGGAAGATTCCTCTTTGTCTTGTCAGGATCATTTATGATGGTATAACATTTAGTCATTCCTACCCAGAAAGATTGTACAAACCGGACAATAGATTTTACAGTAATATCCTATGTATGACTGGTTCAGTCAAGACAAGACGGTCAAACAGCTACCAGACATGGCAGGTAAAAGTAGAAGAACATAGTTACATTCATATGCAGAATTACAAGCATTTTAAAGTTGGTTAACACGCTATAAAATTATAATACCTGCTACCATGACCTAGGAAATATCAAATTCATGTTTATGCATTTCTTAAGTGGTTATACTTATAGACAATATAAGATCGCAGAGTCTATTCCTCTTTCTTCATCAGAATTCAAGTGGGAGCCGTGATTTTCCCTTGGAATTCCTTTTGGGAGTCATAAAGTTTTATGACCTTGCAAGAGGGAGAGTTATAGAATCTTTCTTTAGAAATAAACTTAAGGTTCGAAGTTACAGAACAGTTAAAATTACATCTATAGAATAAGACAAAACTAATTAGATATGCATGCATACAGGAAGGTTGTTTGTGTGCGGGTATGCGTGGATGTGATTGTTCAGTCAGCGTTTTCTCCGGGGAATCCTGTGTGTGCGGATTTAAATTGACAATGCTCGTCTTGTCATCTTCGTAGGAAACCCTCGAAGCGGGGCTCTTGGTCAAATGTCTTTTGGTGGTAAACAAAGTCTTCTTTGACTTAATCATTAGAGAGAACTGCCGTGTGTGCGAATTGTAGTCAGTGACTCAATCAAGTCCGAACAACACTTCTTTGTGTCACAGCCAAAAAGAAGGGTAGAGTTGATTGTGGTTGATTAAATTAGCTTCCAGTAATTTTAATCCACTGACCAGGATTTGCTAATTCCGAACCTTTTGGCCGGATACCCGTCAGTGTCGCTACAACATACTATGCCAAACTACACAGTGATGTCCAGAACAACGGTCAGAGCTAAAATAAAAAAAACAACAGAGGAAATGAAAGCCAAAGTAAGGAGAGCGATGCAGAACATTGAATACATCGCGACTACCACAGACTGCTGGACGGCTTTTCGTCAAAGTTTTATTGGAGTGACCGCCCACTGGATCGAGCCAGACAGCCTAGAAAGATGTTCGGTTGCTCTTGCGTGCAAAAGGCTTAAAGGATCACATACATTTGATGTATTAGCTGGAGCCCTTAATGACATCCATACTGAATACAACATTTGCAAAAAGATTGTCAGGACCACTACTGACAATGCTTCAAATTTCATCAAGGCCTTCAAGGTTTATGGTTGTGACGAAGAAAGTTGGGTGGGGGGTGGTGGGGGGTGGTGGGGGGGGGGGGGGGGGGGGGGGAGAGGAAGATGTGAGTGACAGTGAGAATGCTGAAGATCTGGAAGAGGAAATAGAGGGTGTTGAGATACAAGGTGTCATGGATGAAGAGGATGGTGGTTCCGAATATCAGCTCCCAAAGCACCACCGTTGGGCATGTCATCTTCTGAACTTGATCTCAACAGTAGATGCCACAAAAGCCAACTCAAATCAGGTCTACAAAAAAATGTCACGTGCAGCATTTGCTAAGTGCACGGCACTGTGGAACAAGAGTGCTCGCTCCACCTCAGCTGCAGAGGTGATTGAAAGGGAGTGCAAGCTCCAACTTATTCGACCAAATGACACTAGGTGGAACTCCCTCTTTCTTTCAGTGGAACGATTGCTAAGAATCATCCAAGACAGTGGAGAAGGAGCCATCAGAGCAGTTTGCATTGCACTTAAAGTCCCCATGTAAGTGTTATACTGCCAAACACATTGTCTTGCATAAACATACAACATAAAACTTTATGGAATATTAACTAATGTAATATTTAGCAACATTAGCCATCTGTGTATGTTACAAATGTTATTGCCACATGACATTTTGTATGATTTTCTATCGCTGTGTGACAGGTTCAGCCCTGCAGAACTTGCCTTTTTGACTGAATATGTTGCTACCATGAGCCCAATCGCCAAGGCACTGAACATAATGCAGACAGAAGTGAATGTCCATATGGGATGGCTGGTGCCCACTATTACCCTCCTAACTGTGAAGCTTGACCGCCTCCTAACCTCATCCAAGTTCTGCGAGCCACTGATCTTTGCCCTTCAAGAAGGAATACAGCAGCGGTTTGGACCCATGCTTTTGGACCCCGAACTCATTGCTGCTGCAATTTTACTTCCGAAGTTTCGGACTTCCTGGACAAGCAATGAGGACTTGCTGAAACTGGGTAAGTCACTGTCTCTTTAAATTGCAACATGGAAAGCTTGGCAAAGAGCAGCACCTAACAGTAGAATAAAAAATGTGTTGTTACAGTTTTATGCAAAGGTTTTGGTGCCTCTGATCATTTTTAGGCTTTCAGTTTATCATCTGCTGGGCTTTCTAAGCAGCAGCTTGACATATTTCGCACCTTATGTAATTAATGACATTTCAGTTCCAAAATAACATTTATAGAATAAACGTTAACAATGTAATGTGCATCACAACAAGTTTCAACAACAGACAGGTGAAAAAGCTTAGGCGTCCCAATGGAGTAAACACACTCCACTAAATACATCATCAGTATTTAGTGGAGCGCCCTTTTTGTGAAATAACACCCTGTAGATTTTTCCACTAACCACAGCTACGTCCCTGATGTATGACTGCAAGTATTTTAAACCATTTCTCCTTACAAAATATCTCCAGATCAGTCAGGTTTGATGGCTGACAAATGTGGGTTATCGGGGGTGCCCAAATGCATAAAACGTCTCGGGTTATGACTATAACCCTTGTTCCCTGAGAAGGGAACGAGACACTGCGTCGAGAATTGACACTTTGGGGACGCTCCCTAAGCGTGCGCCTCTGAAGTATGAATGAAACTAATCCAATCCTGATTGGTGTTGCGTCGTGACGCAACATGTGACGGCATACCCAGAAGTATAAAAGTGACGCTGTCACAACACACACTAGCCTCGCGATGAAGCAAGACGCTCCAAGGCCTCAAGGGGCGTGGCAGAACGACGCAGTGTCTCGTTCCCTTCTCAGGGAACAAGGGTTATAGTCATAACCCGAGACGTTCCCTTTCGAGGGAACTCTACACTGCGTCGAGAATCGACACTTTGGGGAACGAGTGCCCACTAGGCCACGCACCGAATAGGCCTGTCCCGGAGTGAAACTGTTTAGGCACTCAGCAAGGACTGAGCACGTGTGTGCCAGGCGTACTAGGAAGGTGGAGACTGTGGAACCTAATAAAAGTATGTGGAGTAGCCCAACCGGCTGCCTCACAGATCTCCTGTAGAGGAACTCCCGAAAGAAGGGCCCTAGAAGAAGTCATGCTTCTAGTTGAGTGAGCCCTCACGGCTAAAGGTGAAGGCAAAATAGCGCACCTTGTAAGCCTCAGTAATAGCCTGAACAATCCAATTACTAATAGTTTGCTTGGATGCCGGGAGCCCCTTCTTAGGTGACCCAAAACATACTAATAATTGGTCCGACCTTCTCCAAGAAGAGGACCTCTCAAGGTACACGCTCAAAGCTCTGACGGGGCAGAGCAAATTAAGCTTCTCTTCTTCTGCCGACACATGAGGTGGAGGATGGAATGCCTGAAGAACTGTAGACCGAGCCGTATTCGATACTATAGGCACGTAGCCCGGACTCGGGTGCAAAAAAGCTTTACTCTGCCAGGGGCAAACTCCAAGCAAGCTGGTGTACCAGGGCTTGGAGATCTCCCACCCTCTTAAGTGAGGTAATAGCTAAGAGAAAAACCATTTTCAGCGTTAAGTCCTTAGGCGAAGCCGACTATAGAGGTTCGAAGGGGGCCAGGGGCAACCCTTCCAGAACTATTGCCAGGTCCCAGGCAGAAACCCTGGACCTGGTTGCCAGTCTCATCCTCCAAGTACCACGGAGAAAACGAATGACCAACTGGTGCCTCCCCAGAGGCCCATCACTTAAAGGTGAGTGGAAAGCCGCAATGGCAGCCACGTACACCTTAAGCGTGGAAGGGGAGAGACCCGCAGAGAAACGATCTTGAAGGAACTCCAGAACTGAAGCCACCGGGCAGTTAACTGGGTCCAACTCATGTTCTCTACACCAAGTGAAAACACATTCCACTTGAGGCCATATAATCTCCTAGTAGATGGAGCCCTAGAGCTAAGTATGGTTTCAACCACTCCGGCTGATAGACCAGCATCTAGGTACTGAACCCCCTCAGAGGCCAGACCCACAGCTTCCACAGTTCTGGGTGAGGGTGGAAGACTGTGCCCTCCGCTTGAGACAACAGATCCCTCCTCAGAGGAATCTGCCATGGCGGAGCTATCAGGAGTGATATTATGTCTGAAAACCATACTCGGGTCGGCCACCTCGGGGCAACCAGAAGTAAACTGATGCCCTCTTGACGGACCCTCTCCAGGACTCCCGGAAGCAGAGCGATCGGGGGAAATGCGTACAGGCGAAGCCTCGGCCAGGCCTGTACCATGGCATCCAACCCCAGTGGGGCTGGATGTGAGAGGGAGAACCAAAGTGGACAGTGGGATGTCTCTCGAGACGCAAACAGGTCCACTTCCATCGGTCCAAACCTCTCCCATATTAACTTCACCACCTCTGGGTGAAGTCACCATTCCCCGGGCCTCAGCCCCTGCCTCGACAGGATGTCTGCTCCCTGATTCTGAACCCCCGGAATATACATTGCTCTGATAGAGAGTATTTTCCCCTGGGACCAAAGAATAATCTGATGCGCCAGTCTGCACAGAGGGCGCGATCTGAGTCCCCCTTGTCGGTTCAGATAAGCTACCACAGACGTATTGTCTGATCGTACTAAGACATGGTAACCATTGATGTCTGGGAGGAAGCTCCTCAAAGCCCTGAACACAGCCATCATCTCTAGACAGTTTATGTGCCAAGAATGATGATGTCCTGCGACAGACCCCTGGCAAAGCGGCCGTCCATGACCGTGCCCCAACCAGTGAGGGAGGCGACTGTCGAAACGGTTTTCCGGCGACATGACGCTCCCAGCACTGGCCTGTGGGATAGGAACCAAGGTTTCTTCCAAATTACCAGGGAACGAAGGCATCTGCGCGTAACTCTGACTATACGAAACAGATTCCCCTTGAGGGAAAAAAACCTTGGCTCTCAGCCACCACTGAAGGGGGCCTCATGTGTAGAAGGCCCAAATGTATAATGTTGGATGCCGCTATCATGAGGCCCAGCAGTCTTTGAAACTGCTTTACAGTGATGGCCTGGCCTAGCTTTATCCCGGACACCATGGCCAGGATGGATTTGATACGAGCGGGAGACATACGTGCCTGCATTGTAACCGAATTCCATTTCATGCCCAGAAGAGCAGTCTTCTGAGCTGGTTCCAACACATTTTTCTTAGTGTTGAGTCTCAACCCCCGATTCTAATTTTGACCAAGGACGACATCTCAATGCCGAACTGCGATTCCTCGAGACTGGGCCAATAAGAGCCAGTCGTCGAAGTAATTCAGTATACGGATGCCCTGAAGCCTCAGTGGAGCCAGAGTCGCATCCATAAACCTACACATGAACATGCGGGGAGAGAGTGCTAGGCCGAACGGAAGAACCCCGATCTAAGAGAACCAGCCTCTCGAGACTGGCCTCTGGTGGTTTCCGAGCACCCTTCTCGACTGCCTGAAGCGGAAGACCGGCAGGCTGTAGTCGATACGGTTTTTCGTAACCATAACTGATGCTCGTTTTTTATTTTTCGAGGAAAAACAATGCATAGTGCGTTCGCTGGAAAATGAAGCGGCCCGAAGCGTCATAGAGGGCGGGCAATACACATCGTTTCTGGGCCCCGCTGCAAGAACCACATCCGATCCAGCCTCTCGAGACTGGTCTCTGGTAGTTTCCGAGCACCCTTCTCGACTGCCTGAAGCGGAAGACCGGCAGGCTGTAGTCGATACGGTTTTCGTGACCATAACTGATGCTCGTCTTTTATTTTTCGAGGACAGACAACGCAGAGTGCGTTCCCTGGAAAATGATGCGGCCCGAAGCGTCATAGACGGCGGGCAATACACATCGTTTCCGGGCCCCGCTGCAAGAACAACATCGGTTGCCCTGCAACTGAGTGGACAGCCCCAACATTTAGATCTACCATGCCAAACCAGTCCTCGGATCTGATTTGGTTTCCGATAATGGAAATTGTAAGCATTTTGAACCTGGATCTCCTCAAAGAACAAGTCAATAGCCTTAGATCTAAAATTGGCCTCAGTCCAACATCCTCCTTTGGAACTAAAAAGTACCGGCTGTAACACCTGGACTTTCTATCTGGTAGGGGAACACTCTCTATGGCCCCTTAACTCCAGTAGAGTCTGTACCTCTTGTTCCATAACCCGAGCCTGTTCTGGAACCCCTGCAGTCGGTACGACCCCAACAAAGCTGGGAGGTCGGTAACCGAACTGCAGTCCATACCCATATTTAAAAATATTCAGGACCCATATAGATAATTGGAAGGCATTGTCATTCTACAAAATCTACTAAGGGAACCAGCCCCTTGGGACCGGCCTCGGGTGTTTCTCGAGCACTATTCTCGACTTCCTGAAGCAGATGACCGGCAGGAAAAAGTCTAGAAAAATTTTGTGACCATAGTCGGTGCCCGGTTGCAAGCTCTTGGGGTGAACGCCACGGTGTGCGTTCGCTGGAAATCGATGTAGCCCGAAACGTTCAAAAACGGCGGGACAACATATATAGTTTTATATATATATATATATATATATATATATTTATTTATTTATTTATTTATATGTATATATATATATATATATTTATATATATTTATTTTATTTATTTATTCATAAACCTGTCGACGATTGAAGTTACAGCGTCGGAGAACAGGCCAGAAGGTGATAGCGGAGCGTTCAGCAGAAAATATTTGTCTTCCCTTTTTTATACCAGACAAATTAAGCCACTGATGTATCTCAACCATCATAACTACTACAATAAGCTATGGTACGTTTAGTGCCATTATACGCCTGTAAAATCGTCTTAGAGTACAGGAACGTACCAGCCTGACCAACCGCCATCTCACACCCACCTCTTCAAATAATCATTTAGTGAATGTGATCAGATTTGAAAAAGAGTGGGGTTTTTCCCAGGAGAGTTCCTATCTCTTTATTTGTAAGATTGGGGAAAAACAGTTAGCCCGGCGCTGAGGTTGTGACCTGTGCTGCAGGAAACGCTCATCAAGCTTGCTTTCACTTGCGTTCCTTGCTCATTATGTGGCCAGCTAATGTTAAGTCTGGCCACAGCACGAGTCACAACCTCTACCAGCTCCTCATAGCTTTGGCCGTGAACTGGCGCGCCCAAATCACGGTCATCCGCATCAATACTGAGCACATCCACTTCCTCGGAAGCAGAGAGCTCAAGCATTGGGACCTGATCGTGGGCAGGAGAAGCCGCGATGCGGGCTCCTGTACCACTCTCAGGGGCTACGGGATCCTCAGATGAAGAATGAGAAAGTGCCGCAGCAGTCTCATTCTCATCTGTAAGATCCCACTGCGAACCCCGCGATCTCAATCGTCGCGCCGCCTCAACGGACGCGGGACCAGAACCGTGGGGAACGCGAGCCTGACCGTGCTCATCAAAGCACGCCAGCCGGGAGCGCAGCACTCCAATAGAAAGTGCTTCACAGTCTGCACAAACAGCTCCCTCAAGAGCTGCTTGTGTATGCTGCGCTCCCAAACAATTCACACACAAAACTTGTGTGTCCCCACCCGTAATAAAACGAGGGCAAGGATGCACACATCTTTTAAATTGTTCGCTGGCCATTCTGATCAACTGATTGACAAACAACACCAAATAAGACAGACAGTTTCAACACAGAGCGCTTGCTGAAGAGCGAAAGCTATTGTGTGTTGTGACAGCGTCACTTTTATACTTCCGGGTATGCCGTCACATGTTACGTCACGACGCAACACCAATCAGGATTGGATTAGTTTCATTCATACTTCAGAGGCGCACGCTTAGGGAGCGTCCCCAAAGTGTCGATTCTCGACGCAGTGTAGAGTTCCCTCGAAAGGGAACTGTATATTTACTGAGGAGCAAAATAACCATAGCCTAGTCACCCTAATGGTTATATCTGGTTATGGAGATATAGTCTTTTCTTTTTTTCCCTTTATTTGGTCCAATGGACAGGCATGAACTACATCAAGACTCATTTGGAGCAGGAGCCAGTGCAGTCTAACCAGTCAGAGCAGCAGGAGGAAGAGGACGAGGACTACTTTGACATCATGAAAGACAATGTCCAAGAGACCTCTAAGCAGCTGGATGTATACCTGGCCAGCACAGCTACCAGCATGGTCGTTCTCAAATCAGTGCCTGCCGTGTACAGATTGTCGCTTAAGGTAAATACACCGTTGCCTGCCTCTGCAGCCTGTGAGAGACTCTTCAGCTCAGCAGGGCAGATTTTTACCCCCAAAAGAGGCAGGCTCGGTTCAGAGAACTTTGAAAACCAACTCCTTTTGAAGCTCAACAAAAAATACTGGTGATGTGGTGAAGTTTTTTAAAAGTGCTCCAAAATGTTCACAGGTTGTTTTGGTTTTTGAGTCTTGATGGAGACTAGAGACGGAGTTGAAATTCTGATGATTTTAAGTTAAGGAAAGTTTTATACTTAATGGAGACTTGAAATTGAAGTCAATAAGTAGAGAATACATGTTTCTGTCAAATTAAAACTGATGCACTGAATCAAAAATGTTTACAGCCTTAAACATATTGTAATTAACAATTTTATTGTTAGAATATTAAAATGGTTAATGTACTGCAATTAACATGAAATATTTGTGTTACAGTTAAATAAATATTTGAAAGATGTATACCCAGTCTTCTTTGTTGGTTTTAATGGTATTTTAATGCTAATTAAGCTAATGGTATTTAACTCTGCAGATAACCTTGATAGATAACCAGAATTGTAAGTCAGAATGTAAACTGGGCCACAGATGGTAAGCACAATTACAATGCCACAGCCCATACTGTTCTTTTTTAATTATTATAATATAGACATTAAGATAATAAATTGTTATGCAAGTACTTTTACTTTTAATACTTAAAGTACATTTAAAATCGGGTACTTTTTACTTTTTACTTAAGTAGGGTTGTCATTGTGGTACTTTTACTTTTACTAAAGTAAATTTGTCACTGGTTATTAGTACTTTTACTTAAAGCTGCCGTCGGCAACATTTTTTTGATCATATTCAGTGAAATCGACACTATAATCTGACAGAACAACATAAATAAAGTGGTTTTAGAAAAAAACCTGAGCTTCTAAAATCCACAGCTCCCGGTTCATCATGTCCAATCAGCGCGGGGGGGGGGGGGGGGGGGGGGATCTGACTGTCAATCACAGATCGGGCACACGCCACCCCTCGCGCACGTTACAATCACATGGCATGCACACGCCTGAAGTTCGCGGAAGTTCGCGCAGTAATGAAGAGTGATGGCGGAAAATCAAGTAAGCTCATTTAGAGTAAATGACGTCAGCAATTGCAATCTATCGGTAGATTAGCCAAGACAGCATACCTCCAAATACTCCATGGTGTTGATGGATGCTGATGAGACGGGCGCGTTCACTGAAAATCTGGTGCACACGCACTGACGAGCATGAACTCGGTGGGAGGTATCCGTTGATAGTGGGGGAGGGCCATGAGAGTTGTAAACATTCAAAATTTTCCTAAATCCACTCAATCTGCCAGACTTGCCGACAGCAGCTTTAAGTACTGAGATTCAGTACTTCCTCCACCACTGCACAGAACAGTACAGCATTACATTACATAATATACAACTGAGGACAGAATGAACATATTTAAACATGAACTAAGGTCAGGGGAACGTTTGCTGGGATCAGTAGTTTACTCTCCATCCGGACGCAGGCCGTTAAGATACTGTACCTCCGTTCTCTGACCACACAACATCACTTAACTGGGCTAAATACTAGTTGTAGTACATGTGTATTTGATTGTAAGTTTATGATAAATAATGAGCTGAAATTGGTAAGTAGTTAACAGTGAATTAATTATGATGTGCCCCCCTCAAGTAAAGTCATGACACAGTCATGCATTAAAGCAACACTAAGTAAGATTTTTTACCTTAAAATAATGTTTCCAAAATTGTTTCAGTGGTTCATTAAGTAGTAACAGGGCGAAAGGCACTTCTGGATTCGCGTTGCGGTCCTATATCTGCTATAACCACGCTATGTAAGATTACCAGTTCAGGTCGCGTTTCTGTAGTTCTAATGAGACATAAGAAAACTACAAATTTGACTTGCTTTACGTCAAGCGTTACAATAGTCATTATTTTGTTTTTCTTCGTTTATGATGTTGCAATACATCATACTTTCATGAGATCATGCAACATACTCTACCTTGTCTGTGGACATTGTTCATTCCTAAGCCGGTGCTGGATAAACAACGAGCGTGCGTGCGACAGTAGGCTGCGGTAAGCTAAATTATTTACGACAGCGGTAATGGACAATTCCGCTTCCAACCTGTAGGGCGACCGCAGAGGAAAAGTTACTTGGTGTTCCTTTAACAAACCATCAGTTGATGTTAGTGTATGGTTAGTTAATAATGAATTAATTATGATGTGCCTCCTCAAGTTAAGTCATGACACAATGATGCACTTACAAATCATTAACTAAAATATTAATAAACATATACAATAATGGCACTTTTCCACTGCATGGTACGGTACGGCACGGTTCGGTACGGCACTCTTTGACGCTTTTCCACTGCATGGTACGGTACGGCTCGCTTCGGCTCGCTTTAATGGTACCACCTCTGTTGAGGTTCCAAGCGTACCGTACCGATACAAAAATGTGAAAACATTTTTGTATGCTGTAATTCATGCATGAATCATTATGACTCGTAGTTAAGGATCGCTCTTCATTGGTTCATGATTAGTTCAGGATTATTCATGCAGGATTATTCAATGTGAAAACACTGCAGATCACTGATTGGTCAGACAGAATCGTCACTACCAGCGTCATTGTATTTGTGACACGAGACACCAAACCCGCTAGATTTAAATAGCCAGTAACAGCCACCACTGTATCACCGGTTTTTAAACTACTTGTTTGACTTGCTTGAAGAAAAAAGAAAAAAAGAAAACTTAAAAAAAAGAAATGGCTGAATCGTGTTCAGCGAGAGCTGGATGGGGCAAAACGTAATGAAAAAGTGTTTCAAGAAGTAGCTCAGCTCGCAAAGGGCTACCACCGGACCCATATAATCCCACCCACTTTGAAGAGGTACTAACTGCAGTGGAAAAGCAAACCGAGCCGAACTGTGCCAAGCCGTACTGAGCCGTACCACACGTGCCATAAGAGTGCCATCCTTATTCCTTTACACCCATGGTACAAAAAAAAAAAAAAGATAAAAATTATGTGTAGTTCTTTTATTTTTATTTATACAATTAAACATATATGGACTTAAAAGAAAGCCCAAACATACCTGTAAAGACACACATAAGGCACGTTTACATGTAAAATAGGGCATAAGCTAGTTAATGCTAATGCTAAAGTAAATGCTAATCGAAGTATATACATTTAAACAACAAAAAAATACAGTTAATAATTGTACATAACCTCCTGAAAACTCCCAAATTGTCACGGAGCGCTCTACAACACCCCTCTGGCGTCATCAGATCACTCTCCCCTGAATATTAGGACTGCACTTCCCATCACCCCCTTCACCATCTGATCACCATCCATCCCTGCCTCATCATCATCACTGTCACCTGTGCACACTCAGACTCCTTTATCTGGCCTCTTCTCCCCATGTTCACTGCGAAGTCTTGTTTTGCCCTGCAGACATTTCCAAGCATTCCTGAGCATTTCCTAATATCCCTGGTTTTCCTGGTTCCCTGATCTTTGCCTGTTCTCTGGACTCGGCAGGAACGTTTGCTGCCTGCCTCGACCTCAGCCTGTTTACGACCACGAGTTCTGGACTGTCCCTCTATTTCATTGTCTGCCTGAGATTTATGTCTGCTTCTCTTTGTCTTCTGGTGTGTTTAAATAAAGTGCTGCAAATGGATCTGAACGCCTCTGACTCCTCGTTACACAAATACAACATACATAAAGTGCTGCAAATGGATCTGAACGCAACATAAATAAAGTGCTGCAAATGGATCTGAACGCCTCTGACTCCTCGTTACACAAATACAACATACATGCAAACAAGTCTTTAATTATTAATTCTGTTTACCAAAGCAGTCAACATTTATGAGATTAAAATGCCAGCATTACCATAGGAACACACCCATCATGCCGAGTGAGCACTGAGTGCGCCACTAATGAGTGTCCCACCAAAAACAAACCCTTCATACTGTATTCCAGGAAGAAAAGTAGTTATTACTACAAAGGCCTAAATTAACTATAAAAATCAGAAAACGGTTTAGATAAAATTGAATTTATTAGTGGTAGTTATAAGTCCGTTTTCCACCTTTATTTAGACGGATCTGTGTAATTAATGTGCCATTCCAATTATTTGTCACAAAGCTGCAGATGGCAGATTATGATATTACAGTTTAAATTATGGCAGTATTAAATCATATATTTAATTCAAATTTAGATGACTTCTTTTTTATTATTACAGAGCCTGATTGATTTAGTTTACCCCTAAACGTTAATTAATGCATTAACTATCAAACATGTACTAACATGTTTAAGGCTGCTGTTATTCATGCATGAATCATTATGACTCATGTCGTAGTTAAGGATCGCTCTTCATTAGTTTATGATTAGTTCATATCTTCACTAATCATGAGTTCATGTTGAAGTAACTATAAATTCAGGTGTAAGTACAGGATTATTCATGCCCTGTTGTTGTAAAGTGTTACCATTACCAAAGTAAAGCACACCTGATGCACATTTCTTTGTTCTTCGTTTTTTAGAACTAGAGTTTAAGAACCTTGCTGTATTTTTGTGTAATTAATAAAGAGAAATTACACCGCCATCTTACTCCGACGAAAGTGACTTGAACACACCTGCCTTAATAAACACGACTTCCCACCTCGTAAATACGAACTTCACAGGAGGACTTGAACCCACCATGAGGGAGAGTAGTCACCTTAACGTAGCTCTCGCCCAACCCCTTGATCTTTGAGCCACGCTGGTGCTTTTGGGGTGTTGTCACATCCTCATCTAATACCCAAGTGGGCTTGAAGGTTTCTTTATTTGGTTGTGTTGATATTATTTGTTTGTTTATTTGTTTTTGTGTAGATTTGTTTTGTACTACTGTCCCCAACTTCAGTGTAGTGATTCTGACTGTTTTGCAACAGTCTCCATAAATTTGATCGATTACCGTAAAGCGGTAGCAGTGGTCTCGGTCATTTTGCAACCTTATGACCTGTAATTAGGGGCCAAGCACTGAAAATGCGTAGGCACCTATTGTATCCGTTCCCGTTCTTCTTCTTCTTATGATTATTCTGCTTCCGCTCTGGGAGTCTATGGCAGCCCATAGTCCCGCTTGGCACACTGATAGAGGGCAGTCTGATCTGTCAACAGCCAATTTGGAGTGTCCAAATCAATCGCTCTAGTGCCACCAACTGTCCAAATTTGCACTCATGTTTATGCTAATAACTTTTGAACTGTAAGGGCTACAAGCTAAATTATTTTTGGGTAGGCTTATTTAAAATAGT